CACATTTGCAAATGGTGTCACGCATGTGTGACGCCACAACTGTCTTACCTGAACCGCCTCTTAAAGCATTCATGGCACACTTAAATCAAGTTACAGTAAAGTTGATTAGTAAGAGTAGGTCAAATAAAAGCCTCTGGATTGTGGCTGTTGACTTTTTTAGATACAGTTCCTAATTGAACAACAAAAACAGGCCAATTTTGCGGTTCCACGAGACATTATGACAACCGAAACACGGAAGTCTTCTCACCTTATCTTAAAAAAGTAGCCGTCAAGGCGCTGGAATAAATTTATTTAAGCCTCCAATCAATTATTTTTCACTATTTTTCTTGGGCATTAAAAATAGGCTCTCTAAATACCCCCACTCCACGTAGACAACGTGTATGTACGTTTTTTTGTGCCCGACCCCCTCAAAAAAAACTATTTAGTGACGGAGCAGTTGCTCTCTAGCCATCAGACGGGCGTTACAACTGTTCGCTGGTTGCGTTGTTTGTTAATGGAGATGGAATGCACGTCTGCGAGGCTAGTCTACAGGCACTGGCGATGCAGGCATGGGCTATTGAAGGTCCCACATTTAGGTGCACTAAAACACGAATTCCCAAACCATCTTTAGCCGTAAAAGCCTTTCCTCAAGTAGTGATCTAATTACATGCCTTACAACTTGTACCTGCGTTCGTCCGATTTCTTCGATTGAGGAAATGAAGGCATAAGACCTCTTTAGGTGCTTTCTAAGTTATAGGAACCGCCACTGCAACCTCGCATCAAGTGCTTTCCTAAAGTTTCGCTTCTATGTAACGTTTCCTCTCCCTTGCAATCAGGGTAGTTGACCTTTATCCTCGTGGGAAATGTGTATTCCACCTCTCACTTGATCATGTGATCATGTGGGGTGCTAATGTCAGGGCGTGGGGATGATTAGTTGGCTATTTCTGTAAAAAAAATGCCTGTACAGCTACGAGTTGTATTTTGTCGAATGGAAAGGTTACGTGCGTAACTGTTGTTTTGAATTCAGTCCCTGGTAAATGACTGCACCTGCGATGCACCACTCGAAGTAGACATAGTCTTCTAGGACGAAGTAATACTTGCCTTAGTAAAGTGTGCTGGGTGGTACGTGGAGGATTGGGGGTAAACAAACCTTGACATGAGAGAAGCTTTCTAATTGCGAGTTGGATTGTAAAAAATGCAGAAATGACAAGTTTTATGGGGTAAAAATGTCACTAATTGGCAAGCTACACCATTTTCCTCAGCAATCCCCTGGAGATTCCCTCCCATTCGAGGTAACAGTCAATTAATTCAAAATGGTACGTTCTGCTACCGCGTTCTGTCGTTACACCTCCTGAGCCTGAATTAAATAGCGTGGGCGAGGAACTGGGGCCACATCTATCAACTTCTGCCTCCACGTCTTATGATAAAAGGTTCCAAGTAGAAGAAAAGTAGTAGCGAGAGCAATGTGGATTGCCTTGGGATTAAATTGATGCACCCCTACCTATCCATCGTAGGTCTTTCAAGAGTCGCTATAAGTTGCCAGAGTTCACTCCATTAAACGCTGCCAAAAAGGATGCAGATTTTTTCATCCTCTGGTTGGTGTACTTTCCGGCTAGATTTCTTCCTTCTTATTCAGACCAAACAAATGCAAGAGCGGATGACCTCAAAATTTTCAGACCTTCTTACTTTACGTACTCCCTTGTTTGAACCCGAAGGAATGGTTTGCTGAAAGCTTCATCAGCATGCACCTAGAATTAGTTTAATTGTTTACTGGCCCTTGGAATAGTGTAATCGTCATGAAGACAGCGTGGAGCACTTCTAGACTTGTTTTTGGGGCTTTTCATGATGACGTGTTACACATCCTTGCACATTCGCCTCCAGTGTCACATATGTGTGACGTTCACGTTTTCTGATCTGACGAATCCACTGAACTTTATAATAGCTTCAGTGGACCTGAATTATTTTAAAATAATAAGAGCAAGATTGATAATTTTGAGCCAATGTTTCATGTGGCAGGTGCTGATGGCATAACAGCTCTGGACTGTGGCAGTCACTGTTCTCTAGAATTCCGATAAAAGGGAGCAAAATACAACGATGATATCAACCTGCCGCTATTAAATTTTGTTGGTCGTACCTGCGTTAGAACAATTCTCCAAAGCTTAAATTCAATCATAATGAAAAAAATCCCACTGCAATTCTCACACGTCTGATCACTTTGTGTCGTTAAATTTTGTTTAAAAAGGTATTATATGTAGAGAAGGCAATTTTGATTATTTGCATCCGGCACCAACTATGAGTTGTCGTTCTTCTTCCTAGCCATCAACACAAGCTAAGAAATTAAACTACCTGTTTTGAAGACTGCAATCTCTAAAGAAAGAGTGACCGTTAATGTATCTCCCCAACTGAGCCACAACTTTGTTATGTCACCTGGAAGTATACGAGGTTTTAATACCTACCCATGGGGTTACTGAATTCTATAGAGCACGTCTTGATGACTCTCAATGACTTGCAGGTACCTACAAGCATAGAAGTGTGTCAGTTTGCCTAAAACCTCGCATCACGAAACGCTAACAAGGTGTTATGGTGATTTGAGGTAAACTGCCCTGCAAACTGCGTATAAATCGGCTTGCAGAGGTCCTATAAAAACAAGGGCATAGAAATTAGAGATTGCATCCGCCTCTGCTTTGTTTTGTGACAATTTAACTACCTTTTAGAGGTGGAGTGATGAATATGACAAAAACTGAAGGCATAGGCTGTATTTTCGACCATACATTTGGTTCCTTAAGTTGTGATCAGATATTATGAATTTGGAAGCAGAACTGAGCTACATCAACTCCTTAAACTCCAATCTTCTACTACCATAAAATCTCCACAGTAAAAGCATTTTTACATTTAAACAATATTACTTAAAATACAGTAGTGGTACTACGCATAAGAACTCATATCTAATGCATGAAAATTAATTATTCTACAAGTAATTTAGTAAAGGTTACATTTACATTCTGACTTATCCTCCTTGGAATACCTACCACTTTAAAGGAAATGGACCTATAAATACCTTTTTTGCAAATATGTGCCAATTCTATGACAAGTCATTAGATCTTAGTGTAAGGCATTAAAATATATCTTTAAAATGCATTTTCGACAAACAGAAACGTGCCTCTTCCTTGTGCGCATTACGTCTATGGTGACTTCGACTAAACTCGTGAGACAGCTGATGGCCTTGTGAGCCTCTGTGTCGAACTTTTTCTCTATTTAATTTTGGTGCTTGCCACTAAGCTCTGAGGTGGCTTAAGGGGAATTTGTGCCCGACCTTTACCTGCCCAGTGCAGAAGTACCCTGCTTGCATTCTCACGTAAAATCGCCTAGAGAGTTTAGAACTCGCGTGCTTGTGTTTTATAGTAAATTATGTAAGGATCGAGGAGGAGAGTTGTTACATTGCATTTCTAAAAAGCTTTGAAGGGGTGACAGCTTTAAAAAAAACTTTAATACAAAAGCACACTGAAAAAGCCTAGGTTTGCACACTGCGTAATTAACATTTAGCACTTGTATAAGTGTCTGCGTAATTACTCTCTTTAAAGCTCCTTTACTTCTGCAAGAGACCATGTACACATTATCTATTTATTAATTAACTAATTTTTTGACGTGAAACGCCACTTCCTTACCACATACGTTGTCTTCAGTTTCCCATTATGTGTGTCACACATGTGACGTATTTAATGTGACTTTTTCTCCAGCCTTTAGGTGACTAACAAAATTTAGGTAGCATCCTATTTTCTTTAAGTAGAACGCGAATAAATGCCGTTGGTATTTAATGAAACCGCCGTGTCCATCCAAGACACAGTATTTCACTCCTTATAAAAAGTCCTCACCTAATACAAATTGCTCGCGTCATGGTAAAACATTTCTCTTAAAACGCATATACACTGTTAAAAAGTGTTGCGTAACATTTGTTTTTAAACGCTTAACGCTATGCACCTAATTTCAATCCTTCAAAAGTGTCAAACTAATCGATTGACCTCCTTGTCAATTATTAATAGCACATTTTAACATCCTTTGGGGGTAATCGAGTTAGGAAAAGCTAGACTAGGGAATGTGTATGATTACTAAAGAATACTAATTTTCCCGCATCTAATTGTAAGATCTGATCACTAGTACCTAATATCAGTCACCCTTCACTGCATTATAATGAAAATTTTTTAAGGATATTAAGATGTCATATTCAGTGGTTAAATATGGAGAGCATGTTTTTATAACACAAAAAAGAGTTTAGGCCTGCAAAAGAAACTATTGGGAAAAATTAGACGGGCAAAATGCCAATGCCTTTTTTTGTGGCTGCTAGATGCAATATCATGATATGCCTTGTAGGAACTCAGGAAATGCTTCAGTCTATAAATATTTTATTCCAACTACACTGTTTCCGCCATTTGGTTCGTGATCTCAACCATCGGTGCATGAGCTAAGGCCCAAATTTTGCTTCTTGAATAAACAATTTTGTGAAGAAAATGACGCTAAATCTCCCATTATTTCTACCTTTACACTCCCGAAAATTGACGATCTTATTTAGAGGCGCGATAATTAGGTTTCCAAAAGATGATTACCCCACAATTTATCCTCTAATCAATTAATGGTAAAAATCACCTTAACCCTTTTTGCAACTTGCAGCTCATTAGTAAATGCTGGTAATTTTTTCCAAAAACTGCCCACAGAATTGCATATTTAGGCTTTTTCTACCAAGGCGTAGATGTCTTTTACACCTTGCTGTGAGACTGTGTGCATTTACTAACTTCAAAATCAAGCATGCCTCCTTTATTTATTTAATTATATTCCTTAATTGAATCTTATCTCAAGCGTTCCATCTCCTTGCTTAGGAGACGACACGAACATACATAGCAAATATCTGGTCGAAACGGGGAACCTTATTTAGCACTAACAAGATGAGGCGTACATCTTAATAGTGCCTAACAAATTAAGCATTGCTGTCTGAGTAAAGATGAAGTTGTGGTGTCACATAATATCGGCTAGAACTTGCGACCCTTTCTTTCCGCTTTGATGCGCTTGCGGGCCTTGAAGGCCCTGTAGAGCGACGTGATGAATGTTGCCGATTTGATCATTTCATCCTGCTCCTTAATAGCCTGCAATCGCGCCTCTTCTTCCTTTGCCCTTGCCTCCATTATTGCGTCATATTCCACCTTCAGAGGCTGAAATTCAACCACACAAGACAATGAAGCGCTCTTTCTGTTAGCTACTTTTCAAGCGTCTTAAATAATCACACACTTCAAATTTGGCAGTTAGAAACTCATAGGCCTTCAATTCTTCGTCATATTGACGTTTAGCTTCATCGTACTTAGTCTGCAGTTCAAAGAGTTGGTCATCCATTTTTTTTACAATGCTTTCTAGCTGGTCTTCAAGTCGCCACTTTTGCCGACGAATGGCCAGCTCACGTTTGCGAAAGGCGGCTGACTCCTCTTCGTACATTTTCTTTGCAGCAGCAGAATCCTCTGACAATATTTGCATTGTTTCTGCAAAAAAAACAGATGCATCAAAATGAAATAACCTGGGGTTCGCAACCGTGTTCATGTAGGAGTTATGCCCCTAAAAGCTCAACTAGTTCACATCACTATCAGTCATTTCATATTTCTACGATTATTTATTCAGTAGCATTTCAAGCATCAAATAAAAAAGTAATTAATCTTTTCCTTTGTTATAGGCTGGAAAAAGTCATAGGAAAAGGAATGATTTTCCATACTCTTGTGTTTTTTTCGAGCCTCCTTGTGCTCCTTTATAAATTTTTCTTGCATCTCTGCAATCGTTTCTGTGGCCCTTTCCTCAGTTGACAAAAGACAAGCGTTCAGGCGTTCAATTTCACGAATCTTTTCCTCTGACTAAAGTATGCAAAATAGACAAAATTTTTTGCAATTGTTACATTACAGTGGTGCACGCTGTAAAGTCACTCCATATGAAAGGTCTCTCAAAAAGTTTTTTGCCCTTGTAATTTCGTTTAAAGCGGCGAAGTAACAGATGTTGACGTGCATTTAAGTTTGACAAAAGTTTTTATGTATTTTGGCTATAATACACGTGGTGGCAGCGCAAAACCATCTCTATCGGGGTGTGTGCTTAGATGAAAGAAAAGTTTTTCTTCTCATTGAGTGGATTGGAAGGACGAAAAATGATCACACTGGTGTAACGGAAGTAGAGCGCTCCCATAATCTACCCGGCTACAGCCATTGCCATGAGAAGTATGGCAAGGGTCATGAGGGACGACTATTTGAAGAGATGGCAAAAATAGGTGCAGTTAATTCGCAGGCTCGTGCCTTGTCAGCCTTAAAGACCTTTTCTGACAGCGCTTGAGGTAACATTCCACTAAGCAATTTTGAATGAGTGACAATGACGTAAATATTTTTTTACTTAGGTGAAGTTAAAAGTGCTTCTTAAAGTGGAGCATATGCGCAGTAAATCAACGACTAGAAATGCAAATCCAATAACAGCCTCAGAGACAACTGAAGCGTTTGCTTATCAATTATCAGCAGCGGTGTTTGATCTTTGCATCACCTCGACTTATCGGTCTTTCTTGCCATTCAGATTATACAATATCGGAGCTATTCATTAATCTTGTGTCGTACTTTCCTTCTTGCATTCAAGAATACAGTGTGTACAACTTTTTTGTAAGATAACATTCCAAAGAGATTTTTATATTATCCATATTTAACCTTCGGATTAAGGAGAATTTCTTCATAGCGGGAAGTAGGATAGATGGATTTGGAGGAAACTGTGATAACTTCGATGTAGTGGCATTGACACCGCTAGGTCGTGCTTCCTGTTTAATGGAAATGCGAGTGGAGAGATTAGATGGGGTAACTGAATGTGTTTGTACGACCCTTTCATAAATAAAAGGCCAGTAAATTGTAGTTGTTATAATCACCCTTATAGCCAGTCATTCTTTATCAATCCGGCAAAAGGTGGCTGGAAATTATATTTCTTTGGTCTGTTTTGCACCAAAGCCTAGCACCAGCTACTTCCGTTTCTATCTCACGTTTCTATTTACCAGCCGTCTATTTCACTTTACAAATGAAGCAGTGGGAATAGAAGGTGGTAATCACTCTGAGTCTGCAACAATGTGGTGGATAAGAGTGAGAATGAACTATGAGGCTGTCCTATGCCCTGTAAGACCAGAAAATGAGACTTTCGAGTGATTCACCAACCTGGCTGTTTCTGAAGGTGTTGCATAGATCGCCAACATGAATATTTGGCTGTCTACAAGTGAAAAAATCAGAGGTGCATTCACTCACACAAAGAAAGCATAGTTTACTGGGATGACGGATGAAAAGGCACCCTGGAAACGTGTGTGAGAGATGGTGAGAGGACCTTTTGAGTGGCATGGTCTCCAGTCCATGTTAGTGGCTCCTCAGCCCTTCTGTGCCAGCATTTTGACTTTGTTCGACTTCATGTAAGACTCGGGGTGATACATTCATAGCAGCATAAAGCAAACTCGATCCTAGAAGACATATGAACTAACTTCTTTTACTAAACGTTAAATGCTTTATGTGATTGAATAAGGAAAAATGCCGAGGATGGAGAAAATCTGTTGTGTAGTCTAACGAATTGGATGATATTGACTTCGAGCCTTAGCAACTGCTTTAGTCAACTGCTCAGCACGAAAGCTAATAACAAATAAAGCAGCACTAGCCATGGATATCTGAAAAATTTCCTTCCAGAGCCATCTACGTTACATGTATAAAGATGTAAACAGGATACCTCCTTCACCCCTTCACAAGCTGGATGGAACCCAGATAGACATGGCCGGACAGCACTGAAGTGAGAACACAGTGGCATGGCCGAAGAGGCGCAAGACACCATATCCACGAAACTTGTTTTACACCCCGTCTCTTATAAAATGACCTTGCTTTTAGGTCATTGTTTTTGCGACTAGCGATGGGCAAAGTGGACGGCCTGCACATTTCCCCTTCCCCAATGTAGTTTCAAAATTAGTAGAAGTGCCAAGAGGGGCCAGCGACACTGCGGTCGGTTATCGTCTCAGTTGCATGCAGGTTCGATGGCTGGCGCGTTTGGTTAGTAGTTGTTTTTACAGCACCGAATACGTGATGGTGCATGACGCGGGAGGTTGACCAACGGCAGCGATGGGGACGACACTCAAAGCGGGAGAGAGGGGCTATGCGGTGCTTTGATTAGCTGTTTAACTTTGTGTTTTGGTTACCTGTCCAGTCAAGACTCCGCCTCTGTACTTCCGCCACGTATCATGGTCTCCGGACCATGCCACTAGCCTCTCAGCTCTTCTTTACGTCAGTAGAACACATTCTTCTACTTTCTATCCCAGGGACGATTCTAGGCGCTGCAGTAACGTACCGTATTAAGACTTTCGAATAGCAAAACATTTGAATATTGTTAGAAAACATCACCAAACTTCGATTGAGAGTGCGTAAGTTAATTGAGTCGACAGCGAAACGTCCCTCTTCGCGCATTAAATTAAATTGCCCATTTCCTCATCCTGCTCTCACACGGTCAGGTTCGCTGTTAGACTTCCACAACAACGTCATTCGACGCCTATTGTGTTGCTTCTGCCTCGGTAGTACATTGTGATCTCCTTTTTGCGATGATTACAGCAGTTTATTACCTGATAAACCCTCTCCCTATATATTACAGCCGTTTGCAACTGTGCTTCAAAGAAAACTTCCCCAATCTGTTCAATTCTCTTTGGTTTTCTTCTGGGAAACCCTCGGTATAGGTACGATTACACTGAAGAGGATTAATGTAAGAACGAGAAATTGCAGCTAAATTAGCTGAGTTGCACCACGAACCACCCTATTTTGCATTGCGTTTTTTTGTTTACCTTGTTGATCCACCTAGAGCTTAATTAATTCACTTGATGAATTTACACCTTGAAGGAGAAAAAGCGAGGTGGGTAATTCTCCCACCGGGATTGCAATTACTACTCATGACCTTGATTAGGATGCTTGCAATCCGGAAAGAAAAACAATCCTACTTGGAAACTTTAATAGCTTTAGCTAGCTATCTAAAATCCTCCCTTTACGCCCGATTTTCGGATATGCTGGAGCATATCACGATCCGGGATCTCGTTGAGTAGTTTCTAGTCCGTCAGTGTAACGTGTTAGCACACTTGGCACGGACTGGTATTCATGCTGATCACTTACTTTTAAACGCGATTTCTCTCTTCCCTCTCTCTCTCTCTCGGACACGCTTACCACTTTGTTGTGCTCCTGGGTCATGACCTCTAGTCGATCTATCAGTCGTTGAAGTGTCGCGCCCTGTTTGGCACCCTGTTTCTCCGCTCTCTCGATGTACTCGTCTCGCGCAGCGATCTCGTGGGAGCTCACGAGGAGCACCTGACGCAGGATGAAACGCAGTTGCACCAACTGACTGGCCAACTCACGCATCGGCCCGCCCGGTTCGACTCGCCACTCGCGGTAATGCCGAATCAGGGCTGCTGTCACCACGGGCTCCGCCACGATGCATCGGGTGATTTGACGGGTCACATCGAAAAGGCGGTCTTTTAGCTGAAAGTGACATTAAAAAACATGTCCGGTAGTAAATGACGACAAGATCATCCGGATGACAGCTCAGAACATGTCAAGTCTAAGCTATCCTTGTTGAATGTACAGAGAATTTGTTTCCCAAATGTGATTCAAATTTTTGTTTTCACAAGAAGGGACTGATGGGAACCGTCAGAAGTAGAGTATCATCACCTGAGCCTTGCAGCTGTAATAACTGACAAGAACTGAGTTTTTCTGGGTAACACGAGACGTGCCACCCAGTGAGTGACATCCCATGGGCCTCTTGTGTTTTACCGAGGCTGCAGGAGGGGTGAGAATCCAGACAGCAGTAAAAACGAATTTAGCAAGCATTAGAAAACTTTTAGTTTCTTCTGCAAGCACCAAAATCGCCTCTTTAAATTTATTTTTTCACTTAGCAAAGGGTTGTGTGATTTTAATGGACCAAATTTTTGTCTTAAGCTTGGTAAAGGTTCCCCACATTTGAATGGTAGCCTTGTTCTATGATAAAACAATATTTACCTTGCTGGCATGTTTGCCCAAGTGGACCCTTCAGCTATCATGATATAGTCACCATCCTGATGCTATGGCGCACCCTCTCTGCCTGGAGCCTCCCGATAAAATAAACTTTTACCTAAGTGGTATGCCTTCTGGCGTTTTTGAGGCTACCAAAAAGGTTGCAACAGCGGTAGCAGTAAGTAGAGCCGATTCAAGTAACAAATGACCCTGATCTCATCTGCTGGGAACCCCATTTAAGTGCCACGGGGCAATGGCATCGGACGACCAAATCCGCCTAAAACCACAAGAAATGGAAGGCACCCTTTAAAAGATACTGAGGTGCCGAGTTTGCGTGGTGTTCAATTTAGTAGTATCTACCGGCTGATACTTTTTTCTGACAAAGTTTATGTTAGCTACGAAATGGAAGTTTTCCTGTGTTGCCATTTCACCACATCCTCTTCGGTTCCGACGTCTCGCTTGAGGAAGACTTGTAACTTCTTAAGAAAAAGACGAATGACCCCAGGGATGAGGCACAAGGGCTCCCCCGTCTTCTGTGGTTCTATAGGCACTTTAACTGGCGTGGTCTCCTTCGAGTCTGCAGATCTCCGCAAAAAATCGTCTTCCTTACTCACCATCTTAAACGACTCGAAAATTCCATAATTCATCCATCATTAAAAATTTACTTTTCAGATTTTGACATCAAGCTTATTAATCATTTTAACCCATCTTGTCAGTCGATTTGGAAAAGTTACCAAGAGACGATTATTGCGTCCTTAGGAGACTCGGATTCCTCCATTTACTTGTTAGTGCAGCGTGTGTCTTAAACACAACTTCTGTCTGCCAGGAGGTACGGACATTTTTAGTGGTCTATTTTTAAAGCCACCAGTCGTGCCTGTCTCTCAAATGTCCAAGTCCCTTTCGAGGGAAAAAAAGTCACTTCCTCGCCTTAGGCCACCCGAAAACTTACTTGTACCGGGTAGGCAAGGTAAGGCAAAGGAAGGGGAATAGCAGTCGAAATTAATCAAGTCCAAATACAGCGCCTCATCAGGAGTAGTTAAAGCGGAGGTTAAGGTGTGAGAGAGGTGAGATAGGAAAGGTGAAGGGGAATTTCCCACGTGTGGGAAGGAAAAAGGATAACCATGAAGGTATTTATTTGTACTTCGATATCCGCGGTTTTTACTTCCTTCGGCTAAATGGCACTTCGGTCCTGCCTGTAGCCTTATAACCCTTCCTTAAGGAAATATCAAACCGTTCTTCTATATTCCCATGTCATATTATGGTCTCAGGGAAGACACCAGTTGGTACATTAGTAGCAACTGAACGACCACCGCCAGCTTCCCCGATCCTCTTGACGGATAACTAATCTCAGTCACAAAAAGCATCCCTGTTTGACCTTCTCGAAGTTCCAGTCGATAGCTTATCTTATAACATTCTAGGGAGTAATGATTTCCACCAGTCCCACCCGATTGGCTCATCTCAAGCAGGGGAGTACTCCAAGAAGGTTAAGGTCACACAGGTACTTTAACTCAGTTTCCAGGTCGTCTTCGCCAGTCTGATATCAAACGAGAACGCATTCATCGTACATCTTTTCGCTCTGAAGTCTATATTGGTGAATGTCTGGTTCCAAGCTCGATAGGATTCAGGTCACACGAATATTGAAAGCCCATTCAATAGCAAAATACTACGGATGGATGTTTGTCGAACCGCAGTATGAGGAAGGTAATTAAAAAATTAAGTGACACAACACTCCTTCAACCTGAACATCTTCATTGTGGAGATGCTGACAATGCTTCTACAAAGATCTGGAAAATGTGCAAACAAATTGTAGCTCCTCAGGCTTACTAGGAAAGGGTCGACGCCTGGAAGTACTTATGGATAGCACTGGGCTATAAACAGTTCTGCAAGTTGGACTTGTAATGTGACCTACACTGGTTGCAAAGCGGTCTCCCGACCCCAGTGTATGCCAATGGGAACCCTTAATTCCGTGACCTGATGGGACTCTGGGAGAAAAGCAAGGGGGGAGGATTTGAAAGCCATGAATTGGGAGGTGTCTTTATCTTCGGAGATGTCTCAGCTTACTATGAGAATTGAGATGCTGGTTAGGCAAGGCCGTAAGTAAACCCCGTGATGTTTTAAAGTTACTTGTGGAAGGGAAATAAGAATATGTTGATCAAGAAATCCTGAATTCTTCAGTTGTAAACAAAAACTGGTGAAAACATTCACCACCCGAATTTACTTTCCCAAAGCATCTCCAAAGAAACTGGCCGAAACTTGTCCGAAGATTGCAGAACTCTAGGCCACATCAAGAGCAAATTTTAGCCCTCTCTTCGAATTGGTGATTGGATAGCAATCGAATGGCAAAGTAATTTTCGTACTTTGAAGGTTAGTTAAAAGTGGAACACGCTGGTCCGAAAATATTGTGAGATTTTAGGTGAGAAAAAGGGCTTCAAAATTCTGATCCAATATACTCCTTCAGAGCTTTTAATTGGGATGAGAGTAGTATAAATCCCATAAGTCTCTTTCCATGTTGACCAACACCTTGGCAAGACTTCAGACTCTTCACCAGAAGTAGAGCTGAGAACAGATGTGACGTGAAGGCAACAGCATGTCAAGCAGAGGGGCTCTTTTTCTGTAAAAAGGAGACTACATGTGTCTATAGTCTTTATTAGGTTCACTTGAAAAAGACACCGAGACTTTGCCGAATCCCATTGGAGCCTTTGGAGGCTGGTGCATGCAACCTGTGGAAATTAGAATTTCGCACGCCTCTCTCCCCTATGGTATTTTAAAGGCATTGGCAAAAAAGGAAGGGAAGGGGAAGAAATTGAAAGCAAAAGACACGCAGTCTTTCCTCCTCTGCCCCCATTTTAAAGGAAACTCACCATTAATTCATGAAATTTCCTCTCGGAAAACAGGAAGTAGGATTCTTTGGCCGTTATTATTAAAGCCTCCTTTAAGGAAGCAGACACCAATTTAAGAGTGGCCTCAACTATAATTTCACTTTCTTTGTTCAAAACTGCGACAACAAATCGAAATAAAAGCAGATTCCATGGTATATTTTGATTTGATCCGAGGAGGCCGCTTCAGGCACCATCTTAAGCTGGAAGGAACTAATCCGATGAGGAGAAAAGATCCAGTTTTTAAAGGCGTTTTAGAGTGGAATACTCCGAACACTTAGCAGTGAATTCAATGCCATCTCACCGATTCAAACGGGGACCCTCAACGCCTTGGATAATTGCTTTTGTAATTGCATTTGTTGTAGTCGGAGGCCAGGGCATTTAAACTGGTTCTGAATAAGGTTGAACTGCGACTGAAAATTAGCTTTGGCTAATCCCTTTAAGAATATTATGAGAACCCACTTTTGAAACTCAACATTTCAATTTTATTACTTAGTTTATTTTAAAAACCGATTTTATTAGTTCTGTTTGCCTGAAAAATTTAACAGCAATGATGGATCAGGAAAGCTCTTTTCATCAAGGAAATAAGGCAGGACGAGCAGAGATTTGACTTGATTTTTAAAACAAGACAAGTGACCATAACTATTCTTCTTCCTTTAAATTAGCTGAAGTTATGTTTAAATTTAAATTTGAGGGATGAATGAACGGATAAAGGGTTGATGGATGAATGCAGAATTGATGGGTGGATATGAGGCGGATAGATGGATACGAAATATGTGGAGCCATGAAATACTAGGTAAAATTTGAGTAAGTCCACCTACTTAGATCTGTGCACCATCTCTAATCCAAGGCATGTGACTTACTTCATGCAGTTTCTGACAACTGACAGTTGGTTCCGTGGACGAGGCATTCACCACCACCTCGTATTCAGTCGAAATCCTCTCATACTCTCTAAACAGTACTTTAACCTCCCTTCCAAGCAGTAGCTCGTAGTGCTTAATATTGGCGACGATCTGCGGAAAAGCAGCGACTAGCAGCACCTTAGAGACGCACGTGTTCATGATTAGCATTGCGCGTTTGCCCTCAATCGTCTGCATATGCTTCTGCGCCGGTTTCAGCATTGCCAAGTGTGGCGATTGGTCCACCTTGGAGGTGTCCTCCGATTGCATGAGCCCCACGCGACCACTGATCGGTGGTAGGTGCTCCCACACAGCCGAGGACGCCAGGTCAGACGCCATTTCTGCAGTTCAAGTTTGTGGCTGCGTCGCGGGTAATGATGGCGGCACCGCCTCAACCAATTCGCCGCGCAGTCATTGCGACCAGCTGATTGCACAGCTGTTGCATCCAGTCGATCGATGAGGTGGTCTGCTTCAAAGGTCACTGGTACAGGCTGAGTTAAGGCATTCCTGTCTAGGCTTTCGTATTCTAGCCTCTATTGGGAGATGAATAAAGTAGAATATCCCTTTTTGCACCCAAGAAGTAATTTTGCTTGAGAGTTCAGTAACAGAGAATGCATGTCTGAGAGCTTCGTCTCATTAATTGCATCCGCTTCATACAACTTCAGAAGTGCTCAGCTGTCTGGCTAGATTAGTCTCGATGTGGCGTCTCAAAGCTTTCCTAATTTTTTGATAACCCATCCCAGAATGGAATAAGATTGAGGATTAATGAACAGCGACACCGAGAGACACGAAGATCGGCGTGACCCAGAGACGATCCTGTGGAGTGTGATGAGACGGCGTAGTCCAAAGTACACTGAGAACGTTTATAAATCACTAGGCTGACCTCATTTGGTTGATGTCTGCAACAAACTCGGCGATATGTAAAATTCTCCCTACTAGGGGTGGTCTATAAGTCGAGACACGTCCAAAAGAATCCATCTAGGCGGTTGTGCTGAGGGCTAGATAATGCACTACAGTGATGCCATTCTGTGTCAAGCACTTTTCTTAGTAACTTACCTAAATGTGTCATTAGAAAGGGGAATGACATGTTCTTAGACCATAAAATGAATCAAACTCTTCAAGGAGTCACACTAGGCCTTCCTTTGGGACCATTGTTTGGAAATTAAGACTACGGGTCATTCCAAAGCGGAAGCCATTTTAATTCCTCTGTTATTAGTTTCCACTCTTTCAGTAGATAACAACACATACCGACCCGATAACGTCCCACCGAAATCGGGATTGTTCTTGTTACATAGGTCAGTCTCATTTACTGCTTTCACTGGCGCTCAGATTCTCCTTCTCCCATTCCAGTGTGGGAGAAGACTTAAAGCACGGAAAATCTGGGAAGGAACAAGCGAGTCTGGGCATTCATGCTGTCGGGTGGAAGCGCAACCGATGGAGCTTGAAAAGAGCAATTTAAATGCCTACATCAGGTTCAAGTTCCAGGCATCGTTCACATTCTCCTTGGAAGTGTAGGGGAAAGAGGCCACTCCTTCCGAGGTGATGGTACATCCAACTGCCAGTCAAGTCAAAATAGACGAGGTATTCTGTCTCCAACCTAATCTTCCCAAATCAACATAGTTTCGGTCCAAAAAAGGAACCGCAGACAGTGTACGAACGGATTTTATGGCTGCGCAACACTGACATAAAATTCCACAATGTCAGGATCATTTACCCTCCTCTCCTGGTACCACAATTCGCCTCCTGGCGCCAAAGTGAAATGAAGTATCAGGTGGTCAAAAATTCCCTGTGGTGGAAAAAAAGCGTAGGAAGTGATAAAGTACACGCGATTGGTTATGCGTATGAACGATGAAGACGTGGATAGATAGGTGTCATCCGGTGGTCGCTTATGCCATGAAGCCTGGCAAAAGTATGTGTCCTGCATCAAGGGTAGGAGGATAGCGGAAGTCGTTTGAAGAATTAGATTCCGCTAATGGGTCCGTAGGAAAGACGCATCAGACTAATTAAGGCAAATGAAAAATAAGGCACCCGTCGTATTGAACATCTGAGGCTCCGCTTCCGTACTTCCACTAAGCGACATGGCATCCACGCCATGCCAATAGCCCCTCATCCCTTCCATACCGCGACGATGCATGTTCCACGCTAGTAGTGACTTCTTTCGTCTTCGGGGAAGTCTTGGAGCAATGCATTGATGGTAGCGGAAAGTAAATTGATCGTAAAGGGCGTTATTTTCTGATTTCTACTGCTGCTTGATAAACCTTAGCTGGCAGAAGAAGTACACATTGCTGCGGATGGAGGGATCGGTGACGACCCATAACAGGAGGGATGAAAATGACATCAACCTTCGACAACCACTCCAGTCCCATGCTCTGCAGGAAAGATGTCAACAACGGAAGCGTCACTAAGTGTGAATTATTTGGAAAAGTTGGTTATAGAGCTGCCTACAGTGTTGATATGAAGATGTAAAGCAAGTGAACTTGTCATACCTCCACCGCCTCTCTGCTAGCTGGATAAAGCTCCGATCAACATGTGGCTGGACAGTGCTGAAGCGAGAATAAAGTAGCAAGGAGAAACAGACGCGAAACCTTAACGTAACTAAGCTATTTTTAACCCCGTCCTTAGTTATATGACTGTTTTTCGGCCAGAATTCTTACTCCTAACGATGGACAGACGAGATGGTCAGCATATTTTCCCCTCCCCAATCAGTCCCAAACAAGGCGGAACTACAGATCTAGTGGAATTATCATGAGGATTCAGTGGCGTTGCGATCAGAAGTCCTCCCAGTTGCACGTAAATTCGATGACTGGCGCAGTTCGTTTGCAGAACCTTTGTTTTTTGAAGCACCGACTACGTTGTGGCAGCTGGCGCAAAAGGTTGGCCAAGAAGACTGCCGGGAAAAAGGCTCAATAGAAGGAAGGACAATGCAACACCTTGGCTGTTCGTTTGACTGCGTTTTGATTTTCCGGCAACCACTGAAGAGCTTCGTGATTGTTCTTTCACTGGACGGCATAAATCTTGGGCCGTACATCGGCAATACATAGCCTGTCCGAGTACTATGTCTTCTTTCGCCTTCAGACAAGTCGCAAGGCGCCACAACGCATGCATCAACTTGCGATGGAAGGTTACTGCGGATAGGGCGAACATTGCAACAGGTGCAAGTAGAAGTGACCACACACATTAAGAGGTGAAAATCAGTTGCCAAGACCGTCAATCTCTCTATCACTTCTTTCACCTGCTCGTTGAGCTATCAACCATGCCATCATTAGGAACCCTCAAGCGATTCACACCCTGCCCACCCCGCACCTCGGAGGCGAGCAACACCTCATCTTCAGAAGATTAAGCTCTTGTGTGTGTGTGTGTGTGTGTGTGTGTGTGTGTATGGTGCACTAAAGACGAAATTTTTTTCACATATTCAAGGTCAAGCCGCAATTACGACAGAGAGGCATCTTCTCTACGCACCTTCAAGGTGTGTGCAAAATAAAAACGCACCTTTAAGGAGCGGCTAAAACTTTCTTGCTCTTTTAAATGACAAGACCTCACGAAGACTTCATATCACACATTAGGATTGGGGAGAAGGGGCACGCTGCCTAACCCCGTCCCCTTCAATCCAACGATTAAGGAGAGAAGACATTCAAGTGGGAAATAAATGTGAAGCAGAAATGACAATGACAATGGCCTCCATGACAATTTGCAATAGCTAGTGGCAATAACGGCTCCAGAAGTTATTTGCGGTCACGTAAATGTTACTGTCAAAATCGAAAGAATCTAATTGCCTCATAGTATTATGCAAAGATCGGAGTGACCGGATCCGACAATTTGAGCATTCATCGTAAAATGCCAAATTTTCATCGCATTTCTGAGTTACCTTTTAACTCAGTCGTGCCTTCGTGGTGATGGGAAGTCTCTTTTCAGGGCTTATTTTGGTGAGCAATAGCATTGAAAGTCGGTAAATGCTCCTTTTATTCCTCCAAAAGGTTTACGCTTAAAGACCGGTGGTCATGGTTTGCCTCCAACAATCACAGTTCCGTGTCAAATCCTTACCTCAACAAAGTAATTTTGCCCAAGGATGGCAGAGGAGCATAATCCGCTTCGCCCTCTACTTCTAGAGGAAAACGGGAGGCGGCAGCACCTTTGTTGCCTGTAATGAAGTGGGCCAGAGCAAATGACAGGTGGGTGGAGGTGAGGTCAATTGCATCAGTTAATGACCGCGGTGATTGACCCGACCAATGGTTACTGGGTCCCGTGATGGAGTAGAGAACTTCAACAGTACGACTCCCACGATTAAAATTCAAAAGGCATTTTCAAAAGCAAAACATTTTAAAGGAAAAAACTTTCCTGAATAGACACGTAGAGCGCTGTGAAGAGGTTTACACATTTGAAGGAACTCTAAGGCAACAGGGGCTCCCTCTGCCAGTACTCCTGAAGTGAATACCCCTTGTGGTTGCACGATAATGACTTTTCTTTCTCAAAGGATGGTTTGATTAAGCTCCACACTCGAGGCTTCGCAACAAACTTCAGGACCACAGAGCAACCTTGCAAAATGCCATAAGATTGGCAGATCATGACAACCGTAGTTACTTTGGACGTATGCACGGCCGCCTCCGTTCTGCACCCTCCGCTGATTCCGTTACCGTAATATTCTGCTCCGGATTGGCTCAACAGCCCTTCGATACATTTGCGACCAAACTACAGGCAGATCTGCACATTCTTTGGGGTGTTCGGAGAATGATGACAATAAAAACCTCAACTAAGTAGCTTGGAGAAGGAATCTTACTGTGGAAAGGTGAATGTGAGGAAACTCAAACCAGAAGGATTGTCAAAGTGAGGACAATGTTTGGCAAGTACCCCCAATCTGAAGTTCTGCAACCTGGACCAAGATGGATGACTAAACGGCAAATGGACCACTAGAAAGCCTCGGAGAGCCTTGAACAGCACAAATCCCTGAATCTTTACAAGGGGCATGTTGTGCTGTCAACTCTCTCATGAAATTTTAACAAGGCTTCTTTCGGAGTAAAAGTCTAAATGGGCGGTAACCTTAAGAACGCCCATCTAGAAGAGTAACGAGTCCTCCAAGTCAAATCGCCCTAGAAGGAGTAGACGGACATCCATGGTACAGCAACCATAAAAAACCTATTTTGACTTATGGGAACACCCAAACCTCAAGTTTTGCATCAAATCAAATAAAGAAGACAGAAGAGGAGCACGTCAAAGCCATCTATGGACATGAGTAGTGAAGTACGAACAAAGTTTGAGGATCTGGGACCTCTTTACCGTTCCAAAGATTGCCAAAAAGTCCATGGAAGATGGCTGTTCCACATTGAGATACGTAGGAAGCTGAAACTGGGACGAAACACGGCGCTGATTAGTAAGCCAGACTCCGCACATTCAACAGTGCCTCAACCTGCCCTCTCAGTGAGTTGCGGGCACCATATCAGGGTACACGTTTTCGGCTTAGCAAAGCAGAAACCTAAAAATCACATCGGGAATTTGGCACACAGTGAGTTTGCGGAGGAACACACATTCGTCGGTGCACGCTCCACACGAAAGATTGGGGAGGTTTAAGAGCTACTTTAAATTAATCATTTTCTTTGGAATCATCAAAAAAGGCGGCTGCTGCAAACGGAAAGGCATTCTAATGATGGATAGGGGATCTTAAACAACGCAAACCAATTGCTGGTCATGCTTTACTTCCTAAGCCACGCAGTACAAAAGGGCGCATGAGCCTTTGTGACTCACCCCGGTGGTTGCCCAATTCAGGGATTATTAGGAGGGGGGGGGGGGGGGCGGTGGGTAAAGCAATACCAGTTAGAACAAGCACGCCTGAGCGGGTGGTCAGCGCAGGACCGTAACGTCAAAGGCGAAAAACCCATGTGGGGACCCGAGATGATTACGGCATAAATACAAACTGAAACAACTTGATAAAGTGAGGTAATCATACCCACAAATCCGAGTTCTGCTGTGTCGCCGATACCACAATATAAAGGAAAAAAAACCCATAAGGGACAAAACATCGGGAAAAAGGCTTCACTTCCTCTCCACACGGACACTGACCTAACTGGGATGGGTTATTGGTTCTCATGAGACAGCAATGGTACACTCGTCACGAAACCGGTACTTGGGATTTTGATTTTGCCCAATGGCGTACCTACACCTTTTGGCCTGAATAGGGACGACTCACACCCTTACTTAATAAGGTTGGTGTGTGGTCGCACAGGCAACCATCCCACACAGCCCGTGTTCTACTTACAGATCGTACAGAGTGCCGAATCCCACCGGTGGGGAACGAAAAATGAGCACAACACAGTCATCACTTAGCCTGTTTCCACGAAAAAGGCCACTACGAACACACCAAGACCACAATTAGCATTGACAGAGAGTCACACGCCCAAGAACGCAGATTGATCAAAGTCATGCGCTGAGTACAGTGGCTGATATTCACTTAGAAAAATAAAAATTTACGCAGCAGTAGAGGCTATAGAGCAACATCCAAAGAGGTGCACTTTCGGCAATTGGTGGGCAGAACGTCAGAGTTGGGGAGAGAGAGTAACAAACGTGTTACGATTATAGCCCTGTTACATACCTTACTAATCAGCCATCAAAATAAGACTTACGCATACACGGTGACAAAAAGTTGGGATTTAGACCAAAAAGAGGGAGATAGGGAGGAAGAGGACGGAGGGGGAAAAGTTACACAACGGGCTGCTTATTCCTCCTTCATTCCTGCCTGCTGGAACTGTACAAAAACACCGGCCTTTGCTATATCCCTGTTGCTTCTCTCAAGGCGGCGCGAAGGTGGAAAAATCGATCCCGCAGCGTTGAAAGCGCTCCAAGATGCTGCGACGGAGAGTAAACTTAGACCGCTTGCCGGTCTCCCGCGATCCAACCGCGGCAATTGTGGTACCCTCGGATTGTGCACCATCATCGTCGTCCTCCTCGTTGGGATTATCATCACCACCGCCCACATTTATCGCGGAACAGGTTGGACCAGCGCTGCCAGCGTTGCCACGACTACCACCACCAATACCGTTGACATTGGCGTCGTCCTCGTCGCTTAGGCCCACTTCAGCGAGAGTGCGTTTAGAGACGTGGGAGGAGGCGTGGCAAGGTAGAGTACGCAAAACTTCACCACTTGTCGCTGGCTTGCAGTCTTGACCAGCATCCAGGCGAGAGTTTCGTGCAGCCTCGTGCACTGGAAGGTCAGGAGGTGGGCAATTCTCCTGTTCTGGACTGTCCACGACTGGAAGTGGCAGACCGTTGCGCCACACCACTAAAGGCACGAAAGGAGAAAAAGAACACTTGTTCAGATTTTGGGGAGTCAGTAAAAACAAATCGCAAAATGGACTGGCAACTAGCTAATCACTACAAACAAATGTGCGAAAATGCGGTGACGTAGACTTGTAGTCCTGAATAGGATATCACTTTCTTAGTGTTTTCTTATAAACAACTGAAATACAGCACGCTTTCAGTACTAGACACCAAGCATCGGCGGTGCCCATTTAGTCGGGTACAATAAAAAGAGTATCGATAGACCGAACGTCACTATCGGCTGTTCGGTCTAAGAAACGCCCCATAAAGTAAAAAAAATTCATTTTGCTTCAAAAAAACTATAAATTTGGGAAAAAAACGAAAGCATAATTGTCTTTTCAAGCACTTGGTGTTGAATGGAGGTGAGCAGAAGCAACCGGCGGAGCTGTGGAGAATAAGAAGCGTTTGCAGTACCACCAAATCGGTTTTTGACAAGATACAACACTTGAGTAGTGCAGTGCCATTGGTTCATATAAAACTTTCACGACATTCCCCCTCCAGCTTCGGTGGTTAAAAAGAGTTGGTCTTTGGGCACAATTAGAATTGACATAATATTCCGTCAACAGTATCCTCCTCCCAAAATCGGCGACAACAGAAGAAACTTTGTCACTTTGCGAATCACCCTTAACAAAAGAAGGATGATTCCAACCAGACAATCCACAATTCCAAACAACTCGACACGGACTGGGGCGGATTCCCGCAAAAAGGTCGATTCAGCTGTGATGGAACTTTATGGAGAGCGGTCGAGTAAAACAAGGCACGAGTAGATAATCACTTCGCTTTCAGCAAAAACCCGCTCCTTCCGTATCAAAGAACATCCTAAAGCACTTTTCATGAGATTTTAGTGGAATTATTCAGCCAAAACAGTTAGCAATGTAAACACCTCTCTTTGGCAAACATGACCGTAGGAAATGAAAACTGGGGTCTGCAGAATTGCACTTCAGATTTGCCAGGGCGATAAACAAACGACCAAAAACACCCTCTTAGTACACCTCACCATATTGATTATAAGAAGAGGTAAAAAAACAAACGTGATTTCACACAGAGTGGCACAAACTGAGGCGAAATCTCACGAAGCCATGATCTACACCTAACCAAAAAGCACCGGGAAACGAGGTCAAAACCGTTTCCAATTCCAGCACTGTGGAATCCGTGTGGTAGTTTGTTAAACTGAAATTCTGAACGAGCTGGGGAAATTCCACCTCATGTCACTAATACCGTAGCAGGTGTGCACCAGATTTCTCAATGCTATATCTTCAGTGGACATTGGTTTCAACAAAGACTCGAGCTTTTGGAAAAAAAAACAAGTTAACTTACATTTTACTCAAAAACGTATACAGCGGAGGCATCAGAATGACTGGTGGAATAAATCTAAAAATAGACAAGTCCCCTCGAAAAACAAAAATGTGTACTAACGTGCTTAAAATCCGTGGCAACAATCAAAAGTACCTGCAAATGACCAACTTAAACTGTATCACTGAATAAATTCCAAAAGGTCAAGATGAACACACCCCTGGAGGAAACGGGAACGTGGTGATGTCGGACGGGGGGTTGGCTATGGCAAGGAGGCATTTCCTCATCTCCAACATCCATGTTTGGCAGGGGAGGCACTTGGCTGTGAAGACGAGGAGAGGCGCGGGTGGGCCGAGTGACGGTGCGTTGAGCGATGACATAATGATTGGCGCAGTCGGTGGCGGAGGGGGAACTGTAATCGCCGACGTCAGCATTGCCAGCGGCAGAAAAAGTGGGACAAGAGGGATCAGCCACCTCCACCGAGGTGAGAGTAGCGGTGACTTGCGGTGCCGCCGTCTCAAGCATAGAGAGGTACTCCTCCGGGACGTGGTTACATCCCATCGCGGCAACGTAGCTCATCCCCGGGTTCTTTGAGGACAATCCGATTGGTCTGGAGGTCGACTGTTGCCGATGTTGCTGCTGATGGAAGGTGGCGGCTGGTGCCTGGCGAACTCGTGATACGGGCTTTTTTACACCTAAGCCGCGTCGCGATTCAACTGCCAAAGCTGGTGATTAAATAAACAAATCGATTGGGGCAGAATAAAACCATCGCAGTATCAGCATTAGGAACCCGCATAGCCTGACCTAGATTGTACCTTTACAACCTAATAAAAACAGTTCCACTATTCTCCAATTTCTAAAACATGAAGCACTCCCGCATGTACGCAACATTCGTTTACTACCAGAAGCTGTAGAGAGGTAGTTGGATAGAAGTAAATTCCAATTACGGTTGAAAAGCACCTACTGCATCACTTGAAATGAATTGAGACAGTAAAGCTATGGACCCCGAATACTTGCTGTAACTTTCACAAAAGGAGCGGAGTGAACAAGACAAGAAGTTCCAAAATTTACTTGACGGGCCCGATCGCAGAGAGCCTGGTTTGCGTTTGACGGATCCCTCCAAGAGACCGGGAAGGAGAGAAGAAATAGAAGGTCCGTCCTGCTGAATACCCTTTCCATCGTCAAACTGTTCTAAACGCATTCCAGCGCCTGCAACGCCAAAAAAACTTCAAGCTTAAGCAGGGAAATCCGTTCGTGTTCACTAATGAAACTGCGGAACAGCAAGACAGGGAACTCTAACAATAAAATATTCCAAGCATCGTAAAAGGAGCCTCAGATAATTGCGTTTCGCCGTGAAAACCAAATTTTCATTGGAGAAGTAGGATCGTAGTACACAACATTATAGCAATAAAATATACCCGAGGTCATGCGTACGCGAACTTTTCGGGAGAGGAAAAGTGGGGCACGGTATGCAATTTATCTGTGACGCAAATGCCGAAAGGTGACATCCTTCGGGTCAAATTCGATGAAAGCGTACGGCAGACGCATCAAAAGATTTAAGGTCATGACGCTGGAAAAGGTTACTGGATCTCTTATAGGCATAATAAGTAAGTTAGACTAGAGCAAAATTTAAGCATTTAGTCTCCACCATTTACTGGATGCTGACCCGGTTGGCAACAGGGTTTACTTAGGGTACCATGGATTAAATGTACCATTACCGGGCTTCCACCAGAAGCCTGCATCTTTTAAAACTGAGTGAAATCCAACATTGATAGCATGCTTGAAGTGTTAAATCCAGCTACGTGGAAATCCTGTAATGTACAGTGGCAAAATGTGCAGGAAGGCACTTCAAGAATGAGAATGGCAGGTGCAAAAATGAGAACTTAGAGGCTTTCCATTCGGTGACGACAAATATGGATCACTTCGCAAATAAAAATAGGAAAACACAGATATACTGTTGATGAGTATCAACAGACTGAGCCAAAGGTGCTACTTAGAAAGATTAGGAAACAGTGCGGCAACGCACCTTCAGTGACTTTGCCAATAAGAGCGGGAAGGTAGCGGCGGAGGAGAGAGGGTCCGGCGATTTGATTGAGCTGCTGTACCACAGCCAGGCTGCGCGTGTGCTCGGCCTGCGAGAATTGCAGGACGTTAATGAGGTTACTATTGTAGCATTGTAAACCCGCCAAATCCGAGTTTGAGAGGCGGGTAGACATGGCCGAGCGGATGGACTAGGATGAAACGAAAAACTCTAAAAATGGCGCTTTAATCCACTAACTCGAATTTCATCGACACTATTCTGACCACAGTGAAAAAGCGTTGATAAAAGTTGTGCCCTATTTATGCTCTTGCAAGTCGTAAATCTCCCTAGCAAGTCCAACATAGGGAGCACAGAAATGAAGCTTTCAAGCTTACGAAAATCAAGACTGCAAAAAACAACCTTTACTACAATGTTAAAGCCCGCAAAAGCTAATCAACTGCGTTGACAAGACACCGTCGCTAAAATAAGAAATTATCCATTTTGTTCATCTTTCCAATGACATGAAATGGCACGATCCTTTGTGTCCCAAACGGTTAAAATAATATTCGTTCAAAGTGCAGGCTACAAGTGGCAACTCTGTGGCTTATGGGATTTACAAGAGGCGATTTTGGTAAAACGAAAATGAAGAGCTCGAGCTCACAAGATTCAAAACCAGTAGAATCATCGATTCAGGCATACCAGAATCGATTTCTAAACACAAAGTTTGTGGAATTCGGTGAGTTGGTTTGGGAAAGGTGTTTGCCAAAGCATGGGATGTCTTAAAACAACTCGCAAACAATGAAACTAACTAGGATAATGTCCAGAAGACAAAAAGGCATAGAGGCCATGGGAGCCTGGATTCAAGCATCTTGATTTTAACCCAAAACCATCATATTGGCTTCAATCTAAATTTACTGGAACGGTAAGCGTTGTTTTAAAGCCGTGCATAATAGTCCCCACTGTCCTTCTGTCAGCTTAAACCCCTAATCAAGTTTTTAAATTCCTCAAAGCGTAAACCAAATAGCAAGAATAGAAACATCTGGGGTTTCGAAGTCACAAACCAGGAAAAAACTGCTGGTCTTCCGTTTCTAATTGAATAAACAACTTCTCTCCATTAGAATAAAATAGTGTCATTGATTTTCAATAAGCAGTTCAGGTTTTTAAACAGTGAAAAATCAAGACACCTGCCCAAAACTGCCAGCACTCACTCACCTGTGGTATATACTGATATGAGGGCGGAAAGGAGTGGATGGCCCGCTCAACCTTGCTCAGCAGATCGTGAGTGGCCGCGGCGGACTTGCGCAGGGCCTCCGCTAGGTTGGTCACTCGCGTTGCTGCGTCATCAATCTCCTTCTCCAGGTTTCGCATGTGTCCAATCAACTGATTGGCCTTAAGACAGCGAGAATAACCGCAAAAAGATATACAGTCGAATGCGTACTTGATCGAGCCATCTCTCTAACCACCACAAGCTCTATCCCCTCACTCCCCCAGAACCTTTGTGCTTTTAAGCATTCCTCAATAACAGTATGATTCCAAGGCTGGCTAGAAAATAAAGCGAGCAAACAGTGTCGGTATGGAGAAAAGCTAAGATGCCAGTTTTTCTCTGAGAATTTCCTGCGCTCACAGGATTCTTGTCTTTTTTTCTTGTGGGAAAATATGATACATGAGTGAAGGTGTCTTGCAAAACGCCTAACGCCAGGCACTTGGAACAGTCCTAATTAGGTCCCCCACAATTTAATATAGCGCACGCTGCATGAAGCATCGTAAATCACGTAAGCTGCACACATCTGCTACGAGGTCAGACTAAATTAATTAATAGTTGGAATATTAATACACAAAACCGGGAAGCAAACACTGCGAAGGTGATATGGGAAGCCGAATTCGCTAAAATAAACAGAATACTAGGGTAGAAACTGCGGCAAAAGGCTTCGATTACACACAACTTCGAGTTACGTTGCCGCAAATTTGCCTCGACTTGAAGATAAATGAAAGTACAGCCAGCTTAGTCGCGAATGCAGGCATAAGTCATAGGTATTAAAAATACCCTTTTTGCACTTATGAAAGCTTTTTAGCGTTAGTTCTAGCACAGAAGACGGTTAGAACCTGAGATATGCAAAGAAATTCGCCAAAGTAAACTCACTGCCCTCATATTTGGCAAACTAAATATGTCCTACGGTAAGAAACTTAGACCACGGAAAAACTCCACAACAGGAACACTATTACAAGCCCAATGAGGTCAACAGCTGTAGGAACAATAACTCAAGGACTCATACAAGAAAAGGCGGTGCAAACAGCACAGAACTAACCTGTAAATCACCACATCCCTCGAAAACAGCGTGTTGCATTTTCAGGTTCGCTAGTTGCAAAATTCTCTGAAATCGCGCAGCACCTACACTCGTAATTTCACTCATTTGCTTCATCCGAAGGGCTATAATCTTGTCAAAAGAACTCGCAATTTGCGCAAGGTTCTCCTTGGCCCGGAGAGGCAATATAGGCTTCGCTGCTGTTAAGCGACTCGGTGAGCGTGAGTACGGTCCAGAGCGCATTCCCAATCTCTACGTTAATCAAGGGAAAATAAGAGCGCAAATACAAACCTCCTTACCGATTGAGAAGTGACTAGCTTCAGCTGCTGCCGCAGACGACGATTTTCAGCCAGTAGTTTCTTCAGCGTCTCTGCGTCAGCTGAAGTCATATTCGCTACATTAACAGATATTGTGTTGCGGATCTTTTTGGCACGAGTGGCATACTGGCAGGATTGGTAGACAAAATGAGAATTTTATTACCTGAAGGGTGTTGATAGATTCACTCATATCAATCTCGGCGGGAGAAATACAGGCAATAAGTACAGTGCGAGAGTTTCCACCCAGAGAATCGCAGAGGAGACGAGTGAGCTTGGAGTCGCGGTATGGAATATGCTTCTGGTTCTCCGAAAGCGCGTTAATAACGTTGCCCAGAGCAAGCAATCCGTAATTTATTTTTATTCCCTCCTTCGCTCGCTCGCCCTCCGCGCCTGTGCGGCCCAACCTCTCACTCCCAGCAAGGTCAACAAAATGGAACTTTGAAGAAATTAATTCGACACGAGAATCGCCCTAAAATTGGTGTATTTGGATCAAAGGCATATCCTAAAACACTTACATCAACCTTTTTGCGTTGACTGATATGCAAAGTTAAAATAGCATGTGACCGAGAACTATGGGCATTCATTTTGGTTGATCCGGTAGATCGAGATTCGCCTCCTGCTCTTATAAGATGCAAAGCCTTTGGAGAAATAAAAGGAAAACAACGCTCAAATACCTACATCATACACGGAATTTATTCGAACTGACGTTGCACCAGAGAGGTAGATCCCACCACCGATCTTTTCTTGTATTTTAACGGGATTCTACAGATGTACTACAAAAATGCGTTTGCGATCTTACCTTTCTAGGAGTGAGCAAATCCCTTAGCTCTTCATTGTACAACTAGGAAGAAATGACTCATAATGCGGACTAACTTCGATAAACTGAGCATCCACCGCGAATTCACTGTCTGTAATACCTTCAATCTGCTCAAAGAGATTCACAATGGCACGTGGGATTATCCCCACACCATCTGTCATTGAAAAATCATCGACTTCGTAAGATGTTCCCATGGTATAGGTTTTTCCCGAGCCGGTCTAAACATAACTGAAGAGTATCGGTGCGCACGAACCTGCCCGTAAGCTAGTACTGTGGCATTTATTCCAATAAGACAGCTAAAGATTGCATTTACACACAAAAGATAGCATACTCATTGATAAGGGGTGCAACTAAGACGTCATAAACCGAGGTTTGCTCTGATTCTGGTGGGAAAATGTGATCGAAAGTGAAAGAACGATCAACTCCAATTATAAGAGAAGAGGAAGCCGAATCATGTACAACAACATCTCCGACACCATGTTCACCAAGTGGACGGACACTAAGAAAATTAATAGTAAATAGAGTGACTACCGGACTGCCACAGTTACTTTGTCAGAGACAGCCATTTTCAAAAAGGGCGTTTAACGGTGGAGCCAAAAACGTTCCGTTGTAGCTCGGAGATTTCAAACAATCAACATCGGGTATTTACATTATTAGGCACTATTCCAATGATTGAAAAAGACACGTTTAAATGCAATTATTGTTACCATAAAACTGCACTTTAAGCTACTACAGACAGCACAGAAATTTAGAACAGGTTGGCGTTGGAGCTGTTCAAAAGGATCCTTAATGTATTTTGCCTCAAAAAATCTATTTTGTGATTTAAGGTTCTTAAATGTTAATAGTGTTAGGCTACATAGGGTCGCCACGGCCGTTAATTTGCACGCCCCTTGACAAAATGGCACCTATTAACTAAACAGTTTTTTAGCTGCGCATGCTGGGCTAGAACTTACAGAGGTTGTGTTTGTACCTAGTGCGACCCGACTTTTTGTTACCAGTTACAACCGACAGTTGTTACTTGTTCAGTATGATATACTCGGGTTCCTCTAACGTAGTTTAAGCATATAAACCTGCACAAGCTATTCTAAAACTCTATTTGAGTTGACCCACTAAAAAGGCTCTCTTTAATTTTCATTTGATTCTAGCATTCATTATAGGTTCCACAATGCTAGGTTATTCGGGTAGCAAGGACGCATTTTTAATCTTTTGTACAGTCAAGTACCCTGATTCGTATACATGACTCCTTTTAACAACAATAATGTTTAAAATTTTTCTTTTCACAATCATGACTATTAATTCGTACCAAGGTCACATTCTCTGTGCGCGTTGGTGCAGAAGCGGCGCATAGGTTTTTTGCTGTGATTATATTTTCTATTAAGCCATGCCCCCTGTAACACATAAGTACGAAATTGGAGATAGACTTTTTTGCTTTGAACCTGATCCTTCTAAAGCCAAGCTTATTTACCAGGCCAAAGTTCCCATTGTTTATTTGTCAACAGTTCTTTAGGTCACACAACTGTGCGGATTCACAAGTAGTGGGCGCTCGCGTGTTCCGCTCTATTTTGTTCACTTTCTTGGTTGGAAACAAAAATGGGACAGAGAGGTTTCAGAGGACCTTCTTATGGATATTAATAATTTCACTAGGATGCTAAAGCAGAAGATCGATGAGCTTGCAACTAAAGTACCTCACTGTGTCATCTTGATATAACACCGCTATCTCTAGATAAAGGACAAGGAAAAACGTAAGGAGAGGATTGACACTGTCCTGATGAGTGCAGCAAAGGCTCGTGACGATGTTGATTGGGATACCCTCCCCGGTACGTGGCAAAAAGGCGAACAACTCTCCAAGGCTCGTGCTGTAGGTTTGCCTTGTTTTGTGGCTAAATCCTCCTTGTAGTCCGCCCTCCCTTTGGAACCCCCACAATCCCAGCCTCAATCCGAATCCCTCGAGGAGACAGAACTAGACGCAGATTCCCTCGCGCAATCCAATTTCGAATCCCTAGAGGCGCATGCGAATTTCGCACCCAAAATCAAACTTCCCGACACATTGTACGCCATATTAGAAAGCCATTGCCGTCCCTATGAGACGTCTCGGAGCTCAACAGTGAGACCACTTACCCCAATGCCTTCATGGTCTTCTGTTTTGCATCTCCTCCAAACCTATCTTAGTGGCTTTCCCTACTTCATATCTTTGAACAATTCGATGGGACTAAGTAGGAGTAACAGTGTCCTCTTTCCCTCAAGTAAGATTCATCTTCATTTGCCTGACCTCTCCTAGCTGTTTTCCGGGAGCGTTTCTCTAAGGCAGCTGCTGCGGCGTACATGAGGACAGATAGGAGTAGGCGTCTGTGTGCTGAGTTTTGCTGCAGTGTTCGGATTCTCTTTGACGCACTGCTGGAGGAGTACCTCCTCTATCCCAATGAAGAGAAAAATCACTCGTGAGTACTTTGCGGTGGTCCATTCTTTGTGTGCACTAGGTCTTTTTTGGTAGAAAAAATTTTGTTCTTCTGATAATTGCATCAGATTAGTAACATATGATAAGGATCCTCAGTGAAGGCAAAGGAATATTATCATCCAAAGTATATTTCTAGAGGGCTACGCGTTCCCGTTGGTACTGGATTTAAGCTAGTCACGAAATTATTTTGTGAATAACTACTAGTCCTTTCGGTTCCCTATGTTAAGGCGATTTTCTCATCAAGGTCAAATTTACTGGTATTATGGTAAGACGCATGTGGTTGAAGTTATCAGGACTTGTGAACTGAAACGATATGTTACTTTGTGGGTCCAGCAATATATTACAGGTTAACCGGCAACATATGTACATCAATCCTCTGGTTGTCAGGTGGCCATAAAGTTAATGTAGTTTCTGGCTCAGTTAACTGCGTGGCTTCCAGTGTATTTTGGAATATATAGTGCATCCGGTTGCTTGCATGCATTGTAGAGTACAGACATCATGCCCCTCTATTTCCTGCTCTTTTTAACATCCATCTCATAACAATTTAGTTGAATGTCATGGG